GCATATTTTCTGTGAGCGTTAATATACAGCAAAATATTACATCATATTTCTTAAGTTTAATTTAATTTCTAAATATCACACTGAAAATGACAAAAATATTGATTATCATCATTTTGTAGCTACCTAAAAATATATTTAGTAAAAGTACAGGAACTAATTCCTTAAAATAAAGTTTGTTTGATGTGCATTTTACATGGGAATGTAATTTTACAATATATTTTAAAAATGGAGTATGCAAATACAATCTACATTATTGCCCATTTCATGCCTTTTTTTTTATAAAATTTATCTCTAATAAACACTACTATCATGTAATATAAAGCAAGATTGCTCATGCTATTCAGTTAATGCAAGATATAAATAAAAATCACATGAAAACTATAACCTATTACAAAAATAATAGGTTAACAAGAGAGTTATACAGCACCTGTAACTTTTGGTAGAAATACAAGCATATTCTGTCACTAAGATTTTCAAATAACCTTTAAAGAGATCTCATTTTAAACTTTAAGACAAGATTGAATACCTGTCAAGTGTCTTTCATATTCTGCTTACATATTTCAAGGAGAAAAACATATTTTCAGCTAATAACAAAGCATCAGAAATGTGTTGTAAGGTAAAAAGAACATGTAGTCCCTAGATATTTCTTTCTACCTATTACTAATATTAATAACTGTACCATGTCATCAAAATATAAAACTCCCAATAAGTCTCCACCTTTCATTTCCCTTTTCTGCTAGATGTTCAAAACAGCTGCGTTATGTCCCTTAGCTTGATGCCTTTTGAGGCTCCCTAGAGTTAGAAATTGTTCACTGCAGACAGCACATGCATATCTGTAAAATAGCTGAGGACCTCTCCCTTGTCCTGTATGCATTTGGTTGGTAGAAAACTGATTGTAATTTCCATTATTATAGTTGTTGGTACCAAAATTTGTACAGTCATTCTCGGAAGTGTGTAGCCTCATATGGCTATTCAAATCAAGACGTCCATTGAAACTCATCCCACAAACGTGGCATGTGAAAGTTTTCTCTCCTACATGCACAGCCATATGTTGCTCCAGGTAAGCTAAAGATGGGAAAGTTGATGTGCATAATTCACATGCTATTGTAGCACATACTGCATGAGAATTTGACTGTGCTTTTTTGGCCAAAGAGGTATTATCATTTTGATTTGGCAGATTATGGTCTTTTTGAGTTTCAACAGAGTTATTTGACATGGATGAAGCTTGAACAGTGTTAGTTTCAACAGGTATTGAATAGTTGCCTTTATAGAGATCTTTACACTCATTTGAACCAGTAGCTGCTTCAAAGTTACTGACATCAAAGGTAACTGATGAGGTAGACTGCAATTCAAGAGGAACATCAGCGTCATGGGCCCTTTTCGCATGGATTATCATATATTTGCGTTCTTCAAATCCTGAGTTGCAATGTGGGCATATGTGGGGCTTCGGTTTATGAAGCATTTTTTTGTGTTTGTTTAAAGCACTACGACTTGAAAAGTTTCTTTCACATATTTCACACACAGGCTTGATGCCATCTGTTGCATGAGATGCTTGGTGGGCCTTCAACTTGCTCTCTGTCTGGCACACCTTGCCACAGACTTCACAGGTAAAGGGCTTGACTCCAACATGTAATTTCATATGTGTATCTAGCTGCTCACTTGTGCTGAACTTCTCTCCACAACTGACCACTGTACATGTGAAGTGAAGAGACTTTGTTCTGTGTTTTTTGGTATCCCTGATGTCTGAGGCAGAAGAGGGTCTTTTCTGAGACAGTGAGGTAATAGCCATTAAACCATTGGCTGAGGGTGAGAGGTCTCTATCAACAACCCCTCTGTGACTTGTGTCCATGAGCACAGTATGAGGGAGCATGTACTCATCACGAGGAATCATGTTTTGATGAATCTCGTGAGCCATTTGCAAAAACTGGAATATAGCCTGAAACCTTTTTTTTCAAAGTTCTTCCATATGATATAGACTTTACTTCATGTATATGATTTCTCAGTCATACTCCATGAAGCTAACCATCATAAAACCTGTAAGTAAATTTAATTTCAATTTTAATTTTGAGTTTTGAAGTAGCAGCTTACTACAGTTGTAGTTATAATAGTAATAGCATACTAAAATTATAGTTTAATACTACAGAAGTAGTCTGTTACAGCTGCTGTAGGTATAATTGTAGCAAGAACTATAAATTTTTCATAGTGACAATAGTTGGTAACAGTAGTAAAGGAGCAAAAACTGTCCATTATTACAGATACAGCGATAGCATTAGTAATATCAATAGTTGTAATAGTTGTAACTAGAGCTGTGTTCCTAAACAACCTTAGGTACAGGTACAGGTACAGGTACAGATATTAACATCATTAATAACATTACTATCATTATTAGTAAAAGTAGTAATCGTAAAGCAATGCCATTACTAAAAAAGAAGCAATGATAGTAATACTGTAATACAAAATATTATAGTAGTATCACTAGTAATAGTAATTGTCACAGGAAAAGTAATAATATGTATTCTCTCAGTAGTTGCAACATGAATATTTTCAGTAATCATAGAAAATTATTCAAATACAAAATAAACATATAGGATTTACTAGAATGGAAATGCACGAATCCTATTTTTGCTTTACAATCAAGTCATAATAAACTGATAAAAACTTTTGAAGGAAAGTTTCACATAAGTTACTGTTACTGTTACATACCTCAAATGATGCATGTATATGTTTTAATCTTGCAGGCAGCATTATGAGATAAATCTGAAATATTTATATCATATCATTATTATAAACTGCAAATCAAAAATAGTGGTAGAGAATATACATTAAAGACTATATTTACAAAGACAATAGACAATGTTACCCAAATATCATTAAATTAAAACCAAAGAATCTTGTATCTTGTTAATTTTTTGATGAGTGAAAAGATTTTCAAATGATGGAAATTATCTGTAAAACATGATGCATCTGAAATGTGATGTACTGTAGAATACAAATGTAAGAATATATATACAATTTTATGACTTTGAGTTCAAAAATAATCAAAATAACCTTTTTTTTTTTTTTTTTTTTTTTTTGGGGGGGGGGGATTTTTTCCACTTTAATCACTAGACCTAATAGCATTCTAAAGATAATGGAAAATATATCCATAAATCTCCAATCTAATTCACAAGCCAATGCATCATGCAGCAAAAATAGTTGACTGTTTTGACTGTGGGGGGATGCTGGAATGTGAAAGAATTCTCTTTTTTACCTCTTGCACTCCTAGAAAAGTTTACATGTTATTAGGTAGAGATTCAGCATCTGTCTTTCATAGATTATGACATAAGTTCCATATATGCTAATATTAGCATAGGTAAATGTGTAGGAGTCACCTGCATTGGCTTTCAATTTGAGAACTTTCTCTTGCAATTACGTTAGCTTTGGTTGAATCACATTCCACTTGAATCACTATTATTCTGTTCAACAGCTTTGTAGATTAAGATGCCGAGTGCTGATCTAGTCTGAGCTCATGTAATAATTATGACTCCAATGATTTCCTAACTACACAGGAGGGAGTGAGCTATAGAATATATTGGTCAAGGTTGTGTCATTCAACATGTGTCCATCTTATCATCATTTATATATCATTAAAACTTGAAATATATTGTGCTCTGTAAAGAAAGGCATAAAATCATTTATGAGAATTGAAGTGTATAGCGATCATCATGGCCTCTGCACTACAAGCTCAGGTAACGACCCACAAACTTCCTCCATATAAACTTGCATTAGCAAGAGCATAGACTTAACAATAAATTGCCAAGAAGGATTACAAGCTTTACTGGAAAGAAATGAATCAATAAAGTATATTTTTTTCAAAATTGTTGTTTGTATAATGATAATGGTAAAAATCATTTCATCTTCCAAAATGCAGATTTTATTATCATAGATATCAAGAACCAAATGAAGAAGCTATTTCACTACATAAACACAAGGCACAACATTTTTTCTAAATACTTTGTGTACT